GGCAGACTGGCTGGCGCGTCGTTTCTTCAATATTGATCCGAAGACTATACTCCGGGGAAGATGGAAAATCATAATGGAAAATGGTGATGCGAAAATCCACGCTTACGTCTTCCCGAAGGTGGAAAATATTTTTCAGAACAGCGAGCGCTCGACGTTTAATATGTGTTCTTTTTTTTTTCTAGCTCACTTTCCGACGTCAAAGAACAGACCGGATTTATTGAGAATAAATCGGGCAGAAGTTCCCACTTTTATATGTTTCCGGAAGATGCTCTTCCAAGGAAGGACGAAGCACCATTTTGATACTTTTCCCGTCTCCTGTTTTATGTACCCCGTGCTCATGCACGCGTACATGCAGGGCCGTGTAGTTAAGTAAAGTTTATGCCATACGTGCAGCAGGCCTCCGAGTTAGACGGACGTATTCTCTGGAATCTGGAGTTCGCGCGTACATGCTCGAAATACGAATCGAGACAAACAGAAAGTTCCTCCACTTTGGGCTCTTCCCGGTTCCTGTTGTCGCGATGCTCCTCGGACGTCAGCTGGATGAAATCTCACCGACTTTCCGCGGCAAAACCGTAACTTCCATCTTACCGATCCGAATTTTGATCCAGCCTCCCCGAAACGCGGATTTTTACCCCCTCTTATCTCCGTTCTCGCGCAAATACATTTATGTAAATTTATTTAAATTTATATAAATTTATATACTTTTGTTACGGATCCATTCCCTGGAGGACGTTCTATCTTTGGGCACGAACCAAACGCAATTCGAGCTCAAGTGCGAGCAAGCGACGTGCACGTTCGAGCAGACAGAATACGAGACACTCGGGGGGTTGTAATTTCGAGATAATGCAGTTTCAATATCGAATATCAGCAATTAGGTGGGCTACTTTACAGTGAAATTCATCGGCCCCTCGAGGACTGACTCACCAGCGCCGGGAGAGCCATCGGTCGCGATGATATCCGGATATTCACTTCTCTAATTCGGCACCGAGAGAAAACCGCCTTTCGAAAGTGCCTCGAAACGGCGATACGCGATCCTGCGTTAGAGGACGATTAATTACTGAAACTTAACACCCCGTTGCGGGAAAATAAACGATCGGCGCATCGGGTGCAACGGTGCATTTGTAAATATTAATCAAAGCCTCGGGTTGCACCGCGGCTTCGCATCGACTTCGCAAACCACTCGTAAAAGAAAGTTTCTCCCGAGACGATGATAATTTACGCACTCTGACGATAAATAATTAGGGTAATTATATTTTTACCGTCACTATCTATTTTAGGCGGGACAATTTATGGGGCCCTTTGTCCGGGATTTTGTGCAGCTTGGAGAGAAACGTTTTTGGGGCGGGCAGAAGGAGGAGGACGGTGCATAAATGTAACACTTCTGGCTGTATAATTATGTCACTGCAGCCCGTTAACTCACACGTTAACCTTCCACATAGCAGTAACCGTATTAATGGCGGCACTCTGGTGCGCTAACCGCACCGTGATAAAATCGCCGTCGGTGGTTTTCCTCATAAATCATGCAAACTTGTAACCAGCTGTATTTCACTGCGTTTTACTGTACTAATACGTGGCACGTGAAGTGCTCGAAAGTAAAGATGACTAATGGCCGTACTCTAGGTACGCGTAAATTCCGCGATCCCGCTGCTGGGCATTAAAATATTCTAACTTTTAATTATTCCGCAGATTATAATCTCGATTATAAAATAGAGTTTCTGATTTTTTTTTAATTAGGTGTTTTTTATTGCAATTTCGACGAAAATTTTGGAATCGGTCGAAATTTCGACATTTCTCGTGACGTCGGCGAAGTGGGTGGGAAAGCCTCCCACATTTCTCGACGGCCGATTCGGCACGGCTGAGGATAAATAATACAAATAATCGAAAAAGAAGAAATCAGGCGATAACGCGATACGGCGCCATTTAAAATTCGCAGCCGCGACGGGGAACCTGTTAGTGACTCATCCGCTTCAGGGCGCAGAAAGGCGAGAGTAAACCTGAATAGCGAATCGAGCTCGAGAACCGAGCCGGTCCCTTCGGAAGAGTAACTATTACGATGCGTGCCACGTCCTTGATGGCCCGGCCACGAGAATAGACTATTTCCGGGATAACATTCAATTTATCGACCACTAGATCCCAAGATCCGACAGTTTTAGTAACACTTAACAGGCCAAAGTAGTCGCCTAACCGTGATCTAGGGTCCTCCTAGTGCCCCTCCCTTTTTGCACGGGCTCGCCGTTTATTTAATAGCAAATCGGACTAAAAGCTCCGCAAAATAGGGGAGGATTTTAATTCCCGAAAAATAACTCGGGATAATATATTAAAAGCGAGGCTGAGAAGCAGAATTGCCTTGGAAAGTCGGGAGAGCAAATAATGGCACCTTTTATCGCGGGCGGGGTTCGATTGGTCACCAAAGCCCGACAATCTATTTTCCGATTCTTATTGAATGGAAGAGAGTTTTAATGAAACGTCCATTCCGCGTTCGGGTCTTTAATGAATGTTTTTTCTTACTTAAGGGGAAGTCTCTCGGGAGCAATTAGTTTCCCTTCGGGTGAAAACCGTCGCGAAGAGGACAACGAGCGGATTCGCGTATTTCGCAAAGAAATGTCAGGAAGAGGAAACAAAATTCGTTTAAATCAACGATATCATTTTTCTTCTCAAGAAAATAATTATTTCTTGCATTTATATATGATTCAGGCAACTATATATATGTTTTCGTTTCAGCCAACTAATCTTTTTTCTCAGGGTGCGTTCGTATATTTCTGCGCAGCCTCTTTCTTGAGATTTTTCGGGGAAAAGTGATTGTTTCGGGGAAACAATGGCGGCTGCTCGAATGGGAACGAGAGCGTCGGAGGGAAATCGCAAGGGAGCAGGTCGCCCTCGTCACTATTGTATTTCTACCTTTTACTTGACTGAGACTACTGCGGTTTCTCCTCGCTATGACGGAAATGCATTGTGCATCGCCGTGTGCACGTGTTTCCCGGCGCGTTTCTGCCGCACGCGGACGATTTCGCGACGAGGACGCAAAAGTGGCTGCAACGCGTGCACCAACATGGGAACCAAAATGGCGTCGTTCTTCGGAAAGCGCCGCCATTTTGGTTCCCAATCCTCTGTCGCGCAAAGGTACATTTTTTTCCCCAGAGTGCGTTGTTAATGCTCTACACGAAATTGGCCTTGAAGAACTCTCCGGGGAAGAATTCCCCAGGGAATGCATTATTTATACCCCAGCTAAAAGGGGAAAATATTTCAAGATCAAGAAGACGAGGTCCCCTCGAGCACGGTCGCGTTTATCGAGCTATCTCGGAAACGAAACGATCTATATAGGAGCAACGAAACAAGTTGAAGTGCATCCCCGAATCCGAAGGGTCGCGAGGGAATTTGCATCTGAATTCAAGCCCTGTGCCTTCATTGAATCCGAGAAAACGTATACAAGACGTTCTCGAAGAAGGTCCCCGAGTTCGCCTTGCCCGTCATTTTCTCTCCGGCTATTCCCGGGGAAGCAGGCTCTTTAATAAATTTTCTTTCACCGCGACTCCTTTCAATCGACCCGAACGGGAATTTATTACGTTGCATTAATAATACTCGAAGGACCTCCCAAGATTACGCGAATACCTGCGCACCTGGGTATTATTTATGTTTTCGGTAAGGACGGCGGAAAGGTCTTACGGGGATGATTTACCTTTCAATTTGCAATGTTTTACGCCGATGCCCTTTAAATGCGCGCACCTTGGCCGACTCTTGTAATAAATTGTCTATTAATCGTTGCAAAGGAAATTCCACCCCGAGGCGGGGAGAATTCTCGAGGTAAGGGCTCGAGATCGTCAGAAGTCTCGCCAGGGAGGGTGAATACGAATGAAGGGTTAAAAAATGGTTTGTCTCTCCGGCTTAATTCCCTGTCGGAGTGGCGGGAATGGGACCCGAAGGTGCTGCGAAAAAAGTCACGCGAAAATCCGGCTCGAGCCATCGAGTGGGTTCCCTTTCAGGAAGTGCTCGCGCAGGCCGTCGAAAAATCGGACAGTCAGCGATTTTCTGACTGTTGAAGGAACCCTCTTAAAACCTTAATCGATCCACAGACTCCGACAGCGCGAGTGGTACTTCGGGCTAAAAGCCTCCTCGAGTAAATGAATAAAAGCGAGCTTTTCCCACCAGATAAAATTATTGATTTTGCACAAGTTCGCCCCTTAACGCACTTTGCCTCTCGCTCGAGGAGTTCCATTTCGGGGAAACGCCTTCCGAGCGCTTTTCGCGGGTTCATTCAGAGAAATTCAGAAAAAGACGGATATCGCCTCTTCCCGTAATTAAGAAGCTACCCTCCTCCTCGAAACTCCACTTTAAGGTGTTACGGAAATGTCATATATACCAGAACGTCAAGTTATTTATAAAATTTATCTCCAAACTGGGTGCACCGAATAATTTGAAACTCCAACACGTGATTATGAAGTTTCTAAAGAAGGTCTTGAAATTACGAAATGTCACATTTCGGAAAAAATATTTTTTTGCTCCTTTCCAGGATAAATACAACATGCGAATTTACGTGATAATTTGGCAAGCACGTTTTACATCCACGTTCGATATAATTGCAAACATTTTTGCGATTGGTGCAATTATTCCCGCAGTAGAATTTATCAGCCGTTGTCTAAAAGTGCACATACCTTGTATTTCGCGGAGTAACGATATCTGTACCCCAGAATTCCATTTAAATTCGCTGTTCCGAATTCTAAAATAGACGTTTATATGCGCGCCACCCCTGGAAAAAATTTTCCACCCGAATCCCAGCCCTCTGCCAGCCTCCCCTTTCACGAGGACTTTCTTTTCATTCGAAGCTTAGGGATCTCCCGGTAGCGGCGAGTCCCGAGCGGTATCGGAAACGCCCGAGCCTGGCCGAAGGCAGCTTCGTAGGGCGGCCGCGCGGCGGCGCGTCTCACCGTCGCGCCGCCCGGGGAGTGGCGGGGCGGCGGTAAACACGCCGGCGCTTCAGTGCGTTCGCGACTGCAGCAGTGATCGCATCGTGGCGTTCCTCGTCCTCCCGAGTTCGCGTCTCGCCGTCTCCGTTCCAATTCCGCGCCGTCTCGGGCGGCCAGCAAAGCGTCGCGACGTAGCCGAGTGAGTTCCTCGCGCAGTGACGAGCCGAGTCGCCGCGTCTCGGGGTGAGTGTCTGTGTTCCGACTTGTGGCAGAGGCATCCGTGTCGTTCCGTGTGCCGTCAGCGGAACGTGAGGAAGGAGTCACGTGACCGGGCCAGAGCAAGAGAGAGAGAGAGAGCGAGTCCTATCGATCGAGAACCGGCCAGCGATAGTCCATGCAAGTCGATACGAAAACGTACTGCTTTGCGTCGAGATTCTAGCCCTTCGCGACAGGTTGCCGAGAGATTTGAGGTTTGAGGTTAGGGGTCACTCTCTCGGGAGAGGTTAGGAGCGTCCGGCTGTCCGTTCGGTGACGTCGCTGATCCGAGGCGGCCGCTTCCGGCGTGACGCACCGGTCGAGATGGAAGCATTCCCGTTTAAAAAGGTCCGATCGACGTTCCGGAAAATTCAAGCCGGGTTAACCTCTCTTTCCCTCGCCTAATTTCCCGTTAACCAGGTCCCACCTCGATTAATTGCCTAGTCTCTCTGCAGGATTTTTATATTTTTAAAACTCCCCAAGTTCACCGTCATGGACACGTAGAATGGACTTTACGGGGTGGAGGGGATCACCTCCCTCCGAGCGGAACCCAGATTTCCGCCGATTGAAGTTAGCTCGGCTGAATTTTCCCCATTGTGCGCGAAAGTCCGAAAGTCCTGGAAATCCTGCCGGATTGTCGCCGGGCCGGCTCGAAATTACTCGCGAAATCCGCGAGCGTTCCATTTTAGTTCCGTTTCCCGTCGGGAAGGTAGGAGGGAAAAAAATAATCGTCGCCCCGCCGCGTTGCAGATTACACGGATTATATATTTACCCTCGGTTGCAATTTTTAAACCAGCTCGGATACGTTAGCCCGGCTGCTCAGTCGTGGCTGGCGCGTAGCGTAGCGTAATAATACTTTCTGCCTCTCCTCCTATTTTTCTTCTCTCTTTTTTTTTCTTCTGCTTTGGTCGCTGTCCCCAGCTGGGGGCACGTCGGCAGTTATGGTTATATTTTTAGTCGGTGCGGATCGTCGTAGGTAGCACTTAAGTATCGCTTAGCTCGGGCCAATCTTGTGTACTCTGCAGCTTGTACGACTCTCCCCCCGCCAGGGGGGGGGGGAGGCATATTTAATTGTAAGGTGATGCGAAAAGATGCCCCCTACCAAGGACCCACTTCTCGAGTTTGTACGATGAACATTCGTATGCGAGATCGACGGTTTCGTATACGACTTTCAAACGCTAACCAGTGACGCGACAATGCGAGATTTTTCACGGGAATTTATTCCTGAAAATTTATGAAAAAAAATCTTTTTGAACTCTAACGAACTTAAGCCGAAGTAATACGGTGTATTACTTCGGTAGGCGATAATTACCGCGAAACTTAACGTCGAGCCGGTAATTCATTAGGGGAGGCGCGTATAAAATTAGCGAAACTATTCGACTTAAGCCGGGATTCAACTCGAGTACGCACACCCCACTGATTTACCGCCGGTTAATTACTAATTTGCAAGATATTGCTCTCCTTTCTTCCCCTTAATTTGTATGTACATCGAATGCAAACGATTTCATTCGATCGCGCCCTCTCTTCCTCCCTGCCGTGCATTGATTACGCCTCGGTTTCTTTTTTTTTTTTGTTATTTATTTCTCTGATTTTCCCCACTTAAATCGACCTCCCCCGACGGAAATAAAAGCAGATCGAAGCCGCACTCCTCTTTGCACTCCCGGGAGAGGGAGGTGGTTTCGAGAGGTGTTTTGTTCCCGAGCAGAAATCCCGTCCCCGGGGAGAGCCGAGCTTCCTTGACGCAACGAGGTCCGCTAGTTACCCAACTTGTCCGACAATCGCTGACTGATTAATAGCACTTGTTCCCGACTCTCTTTAGCTCTCAACGGGCTCGACTTCTACGGCGGTGCTCGGCTAACTTGGCGAGCGAATGGTTATTTGCGCGAATTGCCACTGGTATACCGGGATAGGAGTGGAAACTGGGTTAGTCGAACCAACAACGCGGAGGTCCTTAAAATCCACCCTCTAGGGCTCTGATGCTGTTGGGTTACGCCGGGGATCGCGTCTATTTGAGGAAAGAAATCGTATTTCGGAGCTCCTCGAGCGGAGAGCGGTAAGGCACATATTCCCGGAACCTAGTCAAAGGAAAATCAGCCTTACGGTGAAGCTCATAAGACGCTGTTTTTACCTTTACCCTGGTCAGATGTAAGCTGAATGATTTGGGGAGGGCTTCACTTCACCTTAAGGGAGATCGACCGCGTCGGTCTCGGAGGACTCGCCGGGGAAAAAAGTCGGTCTAGCCGAGTAACGTCGAAAATATGTCCCCTCGATGAAACCATTAATGGGTAGAGACTCGTAGGAGCGGGAGATCGGACGGGACGTGGAACAGCGGAGATGGCGCTGCTCGGCGCAGCGCTGACCCATACCCCCGGGTGCTGCCGGAGAGCTGCAAGACAGGTAGTGACGTCATCGTTCCAGCTGCTCCTCTTTTGTCCACAAGCAGAGGCCCACCGTGTTTACCCATGCCCGTTTCTCGTCCTGTCGCCCATCGACGCGATATCCTGCCCGCGGGGCCTATGGCTAATTCTTTTATCCGTTTTTCTCGGCTTTTCTAACCCCATTTATCCCAGAATCGTGGAAAACCGTAGATAGGGACCCCTCGACCTCGCGGCCGTTCCTCTCGCGAAGTCAACTGCACTTTGGCGACGTACTGCAACGGGTAAACGCGGGGGAGGGTACATACATAGTCAATAGCGGGCAGCGAAGGTAAACGCTACCTAACTTGTGTTTGGACGAGGGGAGGACGTTTAGGTTGGTTTAGGGTGTGTATCCAGCGGGGCTTAACAGCCGTTCGGAGCGATAGCGTTATCGCCGATGGTCAGACGCGATGAGCCCACGTGGCTCGAATAATTTCCCCGGCAGCCTCTTTACGACCCCGAAAAATAATCACGGCCCGCCCCGATAAAAAGGATATTTCTCCTTTTTTTTTCCGCCTCTCTTCCGCCTTCCAACGAGCTATCGCCAGGTTTATCGCGGCGGCCCTGCCGTCCGTTTCAGCCCCCGTGTCTGTCGGAATTGCTCCGCGCTACCGGCGCTTAATAATTCTTCCGGAATTACGGTGAATAATGCACTGCCCCGAAGATGCGTTTTCTGCCTCGTTGGAGGCCGAGAAAGAGTCGTACGGAGTCCTGGACCCCGGTCCTTTGAGTCGTCGGGAGACTCCGAGGAGAGCTCGCCTTTCCAAGGATAATGACCAGGAAGTTTTCTTTTTTTCCTCATTTCGGCCTCTTTTTTTTTCTTCCTCTCTCTCTCGAGCAAAAGGGAGCAAATTCAAAGCACTTTCTCAGTTAAATATGGCGAACTCGATACGCGAGATGGTCCAACTCCAAAATGTGATTTTTATTCAATTATAAGTAGAACCAACTCGCTTATCGAGTACGCCGTGTTTAACTCGGAGAATGAATTTACTCTCTATTTTTTCCGGGCACGTTTGCGATTCGCCCCACCGAGATTCGCGGATGGCTAAATATTTATGCCGCCTAGAATAGTTTTCCCGGCGTTTAAATATCCCGCGTGGGGTATTTTGATTCTCTTCTCTGAGATCGCCGGGGGAACCGAAAAGCTTCGGGGAAAACGCGCAACTGGGGCGGACTATGATTAGACTCGGTTCGACGTATCCAAGATTTCGAGCAGTGCCTTTGTCGCCTGAAAAAAAAAATATATACATCATCGCGAATGGTCCAGGAATTTTGAAATGTCGATCAAGGGGGGAGGCGAAATCCGGGTTCGCTCTCGGGGGTGCGGAAAACGTCGGGTAAAATTGCGACATCGACACCCGGACTTTGAAGGAACTTTTTGGTTTAATCGTCGCCGGAATATATTGAACTCTCGGAAAATTCGTCGGGAGTCGGGGGTTTGCGCTCGATGAAAGGGATTTCCTTTTTGTTCCTCCGTCGGCATAGCGCCGTGGGAGCGGAATCTTTATCGTCGACTCGACAAAGGTAGAGGGCCAACCGGAACAAGTACCGCGTTCGACGGTCTGGAGATTAAAGCTCGACGAGCCATCGGTGGGAAATATTTCATACGTCGTCCTATCTCTCTCTCTCTCTCTCTGGAGTCACCCTTTGAAATCCCGTGTACGGGGCTCCCCCCTTCGGACCGAAATATTAGCATATCCGTATACATCGATCCGCCATCTTCCCTTCCAATTCACTCCGAGGAGCATTCCCGTCCAGGAATTCGACGATCGTTCGTCAACGTTCCTCGTGGAACCCGGCTCTCGAGCACCAGACCCTCCAATCATCCTGTAATCCCGGTAACTAGGTACCTCTCGCCTGCACACGCGGTATCGCTCCGATAACTCGAACTTTATTTATCGATCCACCCGGGTCCTCGGGAGCTAGGGGGCTAATTAAAAAAAAAACAATTTCTCTTAATTCGTTAATTAACTATTGATGTTAGGACAATCGTTTAAACCGTACAACTGCGATACAAAGCCAGTACAATTTGGTAGAAAAAAGAAATTGGTTTAATTTTCGGAAATGAGGGGCCAACCTGAGGGACATTTAAATGGCGCCTACTCCTACCGAGGGTGGGCAACGATTCGCGGAGTTTCTCGGGGGCTTCGTCCCTAGGCAGGTTTCAGACACGTGGAAAAGCAACGAGGAGAGGTCTAGTGGTGGGCAAAAAACGGTCGGTCGCCTACTGAATAAAATAGCTATCGAGCCGGTCTCGCCGAGCGGCCGCCATAAGCGGGAGTCGCGAGAGAGCGGCGGCGAGTTCGCCGTCTAGTCATTCCCAGTCGCACTTATTTTATTCATCGGCCGGTATTTTATTCAGGACACGAAGAGCGCCAAATAGTCCGTCGGCGCGGTTAATTCCGCACCCCGCGGTGATCGAAAATGCATCGGCCAGAAGTCGAGGGTCCACATCGAGGACGCTCGTCAATGGGAGGGAATTCTCTCTCGCGACCGGGTTGAATGAGAATTTTCGTCCAACTTTATTTAGGGGGAAAACTCCTGGTCGTTGTCCCACGGGATACGTCGTCTAGACGGGACTTTGGCGACCCTGCATTCGGCTCGATACCCGATGACGACGTACACTCTTGTCGGACTCGGCACGCGATTCCACGCCCCGCGTCCGTACTCGCGTACGCTCGAATTATCGTCCCGAGGTTTTCTACTCCCTGGCAGGGGCAAGCAGTGCTGTACGAGATAGCT